TGGTCCTGCCTCTGGTCTTGGTCCCGGTCCTGGTCCTGCCTCTGGTCTTGGTCCCGGTCCTGGTCCTAACCCTAACCTAACACTAGTGTGCCGAGGCACAGTGGTTGAAAAACACTGGTATAGTGGACCCACCTCTGTGTTCTGGTTTTCCTACGGCACACCTGACCATCACTTGCGGCACACTAGTGTACACTGGTATAGTGGGCCCACCTCTGTGTTCTGGTGTTTCTGTAGGAGGTACGGCACTCGCTGTGCCCGCTGTGGCCGTAACATCCACTCCTCAGACTGGGTGCGGCGGGCCAGAGGGAGCACCTTCCACCTGGCCTGTTTCTCCTGCACCTCCTGTAAGCGCCAGCTCTCCACCGGGGAGGAGTGCGGGCTGCTGGAGAACAGGATCTTCTGCCGCCCCCACTACGACATGATGATGGAGAACCTGCGACGCTCAAAGGAAAACGGTGAGTGGGTGGAGAGGGTTGGGTTTGAGTGGAAACTTTAAACACTATCAGAATCAGAAATACTTTAATAATCCCAGAGGGAAGTTATTTAAATTATGCAATGAAGCATCACGTCACAAAGAGAGAGAGCAATTCTTAAATGGACTCCGACAGTGCAGTAAATCCAATGGAAAAAGGTTGTTTGAATTAAACTTTAAAATTTCGACTACTTCAATTGTTGTGCATTTGGCCTCTCATTTAGACAAAGACTCAGTATATCCCACAGAGGAGGACAGGTGGCAGAGTGTGTTCCTTAGAGTTAAGTTTTTCTTTTCTGGAAGGTTTGACATATTTCCATGTGATTTAGGCCTCCACATCTGTGGCACTCTGTCACAGTTTGATGGCAGTTTGCTATAGATGATATAGATAAAAATATTATAGATACTATAGATAATACGTCCTGCTTCAGGAGGTCTTTTTTTTTTTTCAAACAGTCTGACAGTTTTTCTCACATTAGGATGCAGTTGTAATTATTGATAAAATGTTTTGTTCTTGTATTAAATCTTTTTTAATTTTCTCCCCAGGGAGCACTTTTCTAATCTTTTTCATTTTCTTTGTTTTATCTGACATTCAAGCAGACGAGTGATTCTGCCTGATGCTATTTTTGTGAAAAATAATGTTCTTATCGCAGTGAAATGAGATGGTAGTAGTTGAATATTTGAGACTGGAACAGGGAGACAATATAAATATTTGACTAAGGAAACATAGTAGAGCATTTAATCTAAAACACCAGCTGTCTATTCACATGTCTATTACCACTGAAAGATGCCTCCACCAGTTTTCAGTTCGGGTACAGTCCCATGGACAGTCAGGAAAACTACACAAAACCTTTAAAATTCCTCAACCCATTCAGAGTTATTTCTTTACATGTTCTATCTTAAAGAGCAACCAGGTTCAGAGGAGCAGATGGCAGATAAAGAGGACTCCAGCTCTATGCCCCGTCCAGCCAAAAGGGCCCGGACGAGCTTCACTGTGGACCAGTTACAGGTACAGCCCAACCGTAAATGTCTGTTTACGCTTGATGGGGTGTGTTCCTGTGAGGAGTAAAGGTATTTCTCTATAGGTTATGCAAAGCCAGTTTGCTAAAGATAACAATCCAGACGCCCAGACTCTGCAGAAGCTGGCAGAGAGGACTGGGCTCAGCCGCAGGGTGATTCAGGTAAAATACTAATAAATAAATGTATACCCTGACTGATTAACATTGCTATGAAGAACTGCTTTTTTAACCATATGGGAAGTCACTTTTCCAAATAGGCCAATAAGAATGCCCCCTTTACTTTTAACTGTGAGACTTCCAGAGGATTTGGCCAATCAAAGCTAACTACTTTATACCTGGAAATTGAGAAGTGCTAAGTATTGAATCCAGGGAACAGCATTGAAAACATGAATCCAGCTTACTAATCGAACTTCCATCCAGGTTTGGTTTCAGAACTGTCGAGCTCGTCAAAAGAAACACGTCAGTCCCAGTCAGTCCTCCTCCGCCATGATGACATCACTGGCCCCGGGTCAGCTGACTCCACCCCTGATGGAGGATTTGCAATACACAACCTATTTATCTCCGGACACACCCCTCCTCACTACACTCACCTACATGGATGGTAAGAAATGGATTCATGTTTGTGGTGACCTACAAAAATGTAGAAATCTGCATAGAATTTAAAACCTAGAGGAAAAGCTGGAGAAATCCCAATTCTTTATTTAGATAGATAGATACTTTATTGATCCCCAAGGGGAAATTCAAGGTCCCATCAACCCAACAATGATCCATATCCCTGGGATAGAACATTATATTCTCCGTGAAACACTCAGTGAAATGTGTAATCCGACGTAAGAATCCAAACAAAGTTGATGAAAAGCACTAAAAACACGACAAAAACACGGAGCTGCCACTCGTGTCGGCACCTAGCAACTAGAATATATAGAATAAGCAACTAGAATATATAGAATAAGCAACTAGAATATATAGAATAATTATAATATATATGATAATATAACATAATATGTGAAGTCATGCAGTAACTCTTAAATGTACTTAATTTTCTTTTCTTTTTACCTACTTCCTCAGTCCAAAATCCAGACCCCCTTTTGCTCCAGCCTCTTATTTCTCATTCCCTGACACAACTTCCAGTCAGCCATGCCTGAGTTCAGCTCCCCTCAGACAACTGAAGAAGACTTTTGATGGATGAGCGGATCATCACTCCTGTGTTTCTGTGGTTTGATCAGTTAGAATAATTGTGCTGTACTCATCAGTATCCAATGTTTGAGCAGATGCTTTTAAGAATCAGCTGCCAATCAGTAAGTTTAAATAATAGAATAATCAATACTTTAAGTGTAGTGCAAAATATTGATATTTACAAGGTGAAACTTCAGTTGGTATGTATGTTATGAATTTATGTGGTTAATTTATTTGGTGAATTGAATGAGATGAAGCACTTTGTTATAAAATGTAAAACCTGCTTTGGTTTTTGAGTTAAAAAAATATCTATTTTGTTTTTTAATTCAACTGATACAACGGGTCTTGGCATTTACAAAAGAAATACTTTTTTTTTTAATGTGTTAAGACTACTTGCAAATTTGGGATGGGGTCACACTGCAAATTAAAAAGGCCAGAGGTGGTGCATTCATGGTCTCCTGTTATTTCCACTGTCATTGACATTGCATTTTTCCTTTGCAAAGCCAAACTCTCAGCATTCAACATGTTTTGGGTAAAGAATTAAGATGTTTTTCAGTTGAATTTTAGGCTCAGACAACCTGCAACTTTATCAAATTTAACACAGGTGGTATATTAAGCACTTTTACCATGTTTTTTCTAAACTGCATGTTCAGAAAATGTAAATTACTCACCTGGATATAAATGACATCAGAATCAATGTGACCCAAATGTGGGATACTGGAAACATTATTTCAGCAGTGGTTTTCAGTTTTAACAAAATTAGAGCACCAAGTGTGACTACAATCTGAAAAAAAAAAGAAGACTTTTACTGCCACAAAGAAATTCAGAAAATGATTTAGCTTGAGAGTGGACACAAGCAAATTCACTCCAATGAACCCCTGATGATTTAATCAAACTCACCTGAATATCATTCAAACAATTTGAGTGAAAGGAGACAGCTTTGAGTTATCTAAACTTCTGACAAGGGACTTTTAACATGGTCAGTTTCACTGATCAATGCCTAGTGGCACCAAACCTACAAAGTTGTGATAAATAAATGACAAATGCACAGAGATAAAGAATGATCAGTTAAATAACCTGCTGTTTAGGGGCCTGCAGCTGGAGAATAAAATCAGTTTTGGTTACAAAAAAAACTTTATTGATAACATTTAAATGACAGTAAAGGAAGCTGCTATTTTCATGATGGGTACAAATGATCAACCCCAAATAAGCAACTCTACCTGGTATGTTACATTTAATGTTACCACCAAACTAAAGCAAGGTGGTGTATGGCAGGTAAGGACACAAATAAAAAAGTTAAATGGACGTCCATCTTTCCTTAAGAAACAGGACGCAGCGCCCTCTGGTGGACAAGCAGCGTGCAAACATTATTTAGAAAGAGTCTCTCAAAAATGAGAAACTTCTCGATGTGATTTAAAGGGCAAAATTAATCAACTTCCTTTCCAAACTGGCTTTCAACCTCCCCATATAAATATATATAAATGTACATCTTTGATTCGTAGATTCTAGTTAGCTGATTTGTCAACATGCGATGACGTAAGCGCCTTGATTTTATTTAGAAAGGTCGCTAACCGGAAGTGGCATTTGGCATGCACATATGACCAAGGAAGGAGAGCTAGCGTTTTAAAACGGTTCAAGATTGTAAACACTGGAAATTAGGGAGAGTCCTCTCTGCCATTGAGATGGAAATATAAGGTAAAGGGGAAATAAGTCTCTGCTTATTTTTGTTGGATAGTTGTCAATGTTTACTGTGTTTAACAAATAGGGTTTAAAGTTATTTGTTCTGACATTGGTATGCAGTATAACCAACCGGGGATTTGTGACAAAATTCTGAAATACAAACGCAATATGAGTAAATATACTCTGGATGTGTTGACTAAGTGTTGAAAGACGTGTCTTTATATTGGTTGTTCGTTTTCAGTAACGTTTTAATGTGATATTTCTGGCCGGTGAAGCCCCCAGTATGCTAGCTGTTGCCTTAGCGTTTCCTGGTAACTCTTCATTCCTCTGAGAAGCTAACTAACATCAGTCAGTTTCTGAAACCGTGTGGGAATGAAAGGTCTGCATGCATAGTTTAGCTGTAATTGTTCGTGCTATAGTTGTGTACAAACCATTTCACATACTAGAGTTGTCATTAGCATGCTAGCTAGCTGACTACGCAGGATATGCTAACAACCAAGCTTTAGCCTCTCACAGAAATATATCGTCCAGGAAGGCAGTTTGCAACATAAAAGGTACAAAAAGGGCTGTTATTAGATTACATGTAATAATAAGATGTTATTTTCAGATACGGGGACATAAAACTTGTTATTTTAGGACGTGCATTTAGATTTCCCGACTGCTTATTGAGCACCAGCCAAACGGTTGTCAGTGTTTATCTGGTCCTATCTGGTGGGTTATTGCTTTGATTTGGTCTCCTCAATGCATTAAGTCCATCAGCAGCCACTAACAAATCTAGTAATATTTTACATGACGGTTTATTAGGGATGATTAGGTAGATATCTGAGACCATTAACACGTGCATCTAGCCAATTACTTTATTTAGACATGTATACTTCTGCATAGTTAAATACAGAAACAGAGAAACTAAACTGGAGTGTTGCATCCTCATTATTAGTCATTTCTGCCAAACTTCAGTTTTGGTAGGTAGGATGTTTGACTTGAGAAAAAAAGCAGCCGGCATGCCCTCATAATGACATGTCGTGGACTGTAACGGTGTCTAATCTGTTTGTCTTCACAGGTTAAGTTGAGGGTGTTTGACCAATCTTTGCTCTTCAGTGCATGGACACAAAGCCAATGCGCAGGTGGGTTTTTCCTTCAGGTTATGAAGCATGAGCTCTAAACTCAAAGATGCTGGCTGAGGATGGTAAAGCAATCATGGAGAGCTAGTTGGCTAATGAATACTGTTTATTCAATCACTAATGCAATTTGTGTGATTTCTCTGAGAGGAAACGACCCCCCCTTTGAATACGTTTCCACATAAAATGCCAGATTTTGTTTGGAGTTTAAAGATTTCCTGGAATATTTGAATACTTTGTTTTTAAGTGGCAATAAGACCTGTTGCTATGTTGTTTGTTTGTACCTATCAAAGAGGGACTCATGGGATTTATCCTTGTACTTTGTTTTGACTCATTCAGAATGGATGGAATAGAAAAGATGGGACTGGTTTATTTGAAACCACCTCCGGAAACGTTTCACAAACGTCAGATATTTAATTAGATTCTTCTGATTATCCCCACCTGTTGTGTTCAAATGTCTGCTACTGAGCCCCTGAGCCAAAGTTATCCTGGGAACACGGGTCAGCGACCCCGCTATATCTGGTGTAGCTGAGAGCCCCGGACTGCAGTCTAAGTTTGTCATACGTCCAAGTAAAATACGTTAATAACTTCCCTGGATTTTTTACAGGAGATCATTAAGAGAGTTTATTTCAAACTCAAACGTGGAAAGTGTGTTGTCAGTATCCATCCATGTGATAAAAGGGGGAATTATTTGCTTTATGTTGTCTACAACCTGAGAAATGGAGATAATGGCCTATATTAGTTGGTCCTTTTCGATTTGCAATTTACTTTTGCAGTCTACTCTTTCTAGGATGCTCCACAGGCCTATTTGTGTGGATTAGGCCTGTCAATATTTGCCAAAAAATTATCCAGATCCAATTTTTTTTAAATGTCCGAGCTGGATTGCGACATCCCTACTGTGGATATACGAACAAGGACTTATTTGGATCCTTTGTCTTGTAGTTGCACTGGCATATTAGTCAATATTAGATGTTTTGATTATGATATAGAAATAAGGCATGTGTGCTAACTCTGTGATTTTGCGTGATGCCCAGGGCCGCCAGCGCACGTCAGGACGCCACTGGAATGGACATCACCAGCCGCTGTACTCTGGGGGACCCCAACAAGCTGCCTGAAGGGGTCCCCCAGCCGGCACGCATGCCCTACGTGTCGGACAAACACCCGCGGCAGACCCTGGAGGTCATCAACCTGCTGAGGAAGCATCGGGAGCTGTGTGACGTGGTTCTGGTGGTGGGCGCCAAGAAGATCTACGCTCACCGCGTCATCCTGTCCGCCTGCAGCCCCTACTTCAGGTAGGAAGCTTCCTCGTTAGGGACTAGGGTTGTCAAAAGTATCGATACTAAAACGTTGTATCCAGATACGATACTCATTTTCAAAAGCCCCATTCTGATTGATTTATTTACCTTGTTAGCCTTGAATTTCTAGCTGTGGCTAATGGCTAATAATAACACGCCAACATTAATCAAGTATGCAGGAAGCCAAGGATGGATATCCAACTCCCCCACATCCAAGTCGGCCATTTTGATTAGGTCACCAATAGGAAAATCCCAGGCAAGAAAATTTGCTTCATGGCAATATAGACATTAATTTAAAAATAGTGAAATGAATCTTGCAAACAGTGAATTAAACTCTATCCATAATATTATGTTAAACTATTGTGTTAAATAAGTTTGTACAATAAGTCCAAACAAGTTTAGCCCAAAAATATTTATTTCTCACAATTATGAAGGCTGGAGGGTTTGGATTAGGGTCATTAATATGGGCCACCAGTCACGATAAAATCAGTAACAGGTCAGTTTGAAATAAAAGACACCAACCCTTTAAAAATTCAGTTAAATTTGGGGGTCTTTGTTTCTATCGAAAATGGAATCGAGTATCGAATATTTTCCTGAGTATCGGTATCCAGTTGAACATTTTAGTATCGTGACAGCCCTATTAGGGACTCTCTAAAGAGATGGCTGTGAGATTAAGTTGGTTGTTTTGGTGGCGTCTCCAGGGCGATGTTCACCGGGGAGCTGGCGGAGAGCCGGCAGACGGAGGTGGTTATCCGGGACATCGATGAGCGCGCCATGGAGCTGCTCATCGATTTTGCCTACACCTCACAGGTGGGACCGAGTGCATTCTGCTTTATACAGTACACACAAAAGCCAAAAGCCAGTCCAAATATACAGGAAGCAGGAACACAGCAGCCCAGAGCTACTGGAACAGTGAATCAAAATGTATAGCTGTTCTAGTCATGATTCATTTAATTTCTGAAGACGGAGGAATACTCCTACATGGGGCCTGAATAAGGTGTAGGACTTTTGCTCTCACCTTATTCAATCCTCTGTGCTGTTAAATCAACATTTCCTGACATGAATGAAGTAATGGATTTAGTCTCTAAACGGTAGATTTTTAAAAATTTAGTTGACTGGAATAGTTGTCAAAGATGTCTAGGTCGACCACAGTAAAGAACTTTGTGTTGAAACAAACTTTCTCGTTAGTCTTTTTAGGAATATTTCAGATTGTTTTTGCACCAAGTCAGATTAGAGTGAGGTTAAGAGGGGTGTATATAACTCTTCCTTAAACCCTTAAACTCCCTGATAGCTGCATCTTTATGTAAAACGGCATATAAACTGTCCATGCTCTTATCTTCTTCTTCCCGTAGGTGACAGTAGAGGAGGGGAACGTCCAGACTCTGCTCCCTGCCGCCTGCCTTCTGCAGCTGGCTGAAATCCAGGAGGCCTGCTGTGAGTTCCTCAAGAGGCAGCTGGACCCGTCCAACTGTCTGGGCATCCGGGCCTTCGCCGACACACACTCCTGCCGCGAGCTGCTCAGAATCGCAGACAAGTTCACACAGCACAACTTTCAGGAGGTGAGGATGAAAAGCAGAAGGAGCAAAGAGCAAAAAAGGGATATTCTGTAGTTTTGTAGCCCTGAATCTGACTTAGACTTGTACTTTGTTTATCCCTTGGGAAGAGTCCCTCAGGAAATTAAGGTGTCTCTTTTAGCAGTGATGGTGTGTTTCGGTTTAGTTTTTTTTTCTTTTTAAGGCTTGGTTTCCCTTTTCTTTTTTTTTTACCGTCGTGCTTGGTGTTCCGTCACGTTTCAGTACCAAAATACACAAATTCGTTTACATTCAGGGTCCATTCAAAGTTGTGTTTCTTTGGAAAAACAGTGTAGTTTCTTTTACAGGTAATGATTCATACTGCTAAAAAGGGGATTTCAAGTTTGAGTTTGACCCTCACAGCCCTACTATAACAAGGTCATATTACCATTTGGTCTTTAGTGGGATGAATGGAGTTAAATAACTTCCCCTTATGGAGCTTAAAAGATGGGAAACCGCTCGTATGATAATGGATGGCTCTACTGTAGAGAAAGTAGCTCCAGTGAGAATACAGTCATGTAGAAGAATCCACCAGCTTTGTAAATAGTCTTTAAGGCTTTGGAGGGGCTGTCATTATTTGCTCTGTGCTTTTAGAAGTAAAAAAAGTGATGTTTGTGTATTATTTGGGGTTGTTACAGGTGATGGAGAGTGAGGAGTTCATGCTGCTGCCTGCCAACCAGCTGATCGACATCATCTCCAGTGATGAGCTGAACGTGCGCAGTGAGGAGCAGGTGTTCAACGCCGTCATGGCCTGGGTGAAGTACAGCATCCAGGAGCGGAGGCCCCAGCTGCCCCAGGTCTGACTGCACCCCCGGGAAGGTTCTGGTGAACTCCAGCCCTTCGGCCCTCAGTCCTGATTTAGAGTTTTTGTTCTGAAGGTGCTGCAACACGTCCGCCTGCCGCTGCTCAGCCCAAAGTTCCTGGTGGGTACAGTTGGATCGGATCCCCTCATCAAAAGTGATGAAGAGTGCAGGTGGGTGGTGTTTTGAGACGTAAAAGAAGTCATCTATTGAGAAGTAACGTGACAGGGAAGTGGTGTTATTACACTTTTGTCCAGAGTAGGGATGTCCTGATCCAGCTTTTTTCTCTTCCGATACTGGCCTATCAGAGCATGTGTTAAAGTTTAAAGTTATTTATCTACTTACTTAGTTGTCAGACTCATGTTGAACAGGGATTTACTCCGATAACAACTTAATGGTTAGGACACAGACCTGTGGGTTACAGATGCTAATGCTAACTCTGGATCTGGTTCTGGAGTCTGGATCTGCATTTTCTCCTGCCGGCCGATACGCATTTTTTTGCAAATATCGGCATCCGATCTAGATATTGGATCTGGATAAGCCTAGTCCAGAGACTCTCTTTTATCAAGATTTACAGTATTTTTAAAATATGCGTTTTGTAAAGTAGGCTTTGTTGTCTTTCCCCTCAGAGACCTGGTGGATGAAGCCAAGAACTACCTGCTGCTCCCACAGGAGCGGCCGCTGATGCAGGGCCCCAGAACCCGGCCCCGAAAGCCCATCCGCTGTGGAGAGGTTCTCTTTGCAGGTCAGTGCCTTCAGGCCCAGAAAGCATTTTTTAAAAAGTATCTTTTTTTTGTTTTCATGGATGACGATGGATTTTAAACGAAAACTTTTTTTTGGTTGTTGATTCACTGTTTATTTTGCATGTATTTGATATAAAAACTTCATTTGACAACCTGTCCTACCCCATGGAGTTGAGCACAACCCAAATTTACCCACACCAACCCAAAATTGACCCAAACCAACCAAAAACTGACCAGAACTGACCCAAAATTGACCCAAACCAACCTTAAAAGGACCTAAACCGGTTCACAACTGACCAGAACTTACCCAAACCAGCCCAAAACGAACCCAAACCAGTCCAAAAGGGGGCTAAACCAGTCCAAAACTGACGTAAACCGGTTAAAAACTGACCAGAACTGACACAAACCAACCCAAAACGAACACAAACTGGTCCAAAACTGGACGATAATTTCAAACAAAAACGTTACTTTTGTTGATTCCCTTTTTATTTTGCATGTATTGGATATAAAAACTTAATTTTTTCATTTCGTGCCCTGCCTGACTGTCTCTGAGAGCATCTGTGAGCTTTGTGATCGGTTCCCAGCTCTGTCCTGCCCCCCCCTCTGCCCCCCCTGCAGTCGGTGGCTGGTGCAGTGGCGACGCCATTTCCAGCGTGGAGCGCTACGACCCCCAGACCAACGAGTGGCGCATGGTGGCGTCCATGAGCAAGCGGCGGTGTGGGGTGGGCGTGAGCGTGCTGGACGACCTGCTGTACGCGGTGGGGGGCCACGACGGCTCCTCCTACCTCAACTCTGTGGAAAGGTCCAACAACAGCTGGATAGCACTTCATTATACGTGTGTCTTTAAGGCTGAACAAAATCCCACACGGGGCTCTGGCTCTCTGGGTGATCTTTGATGGCTAACGTCTGTGCAGGTATGATCCAAAGACCAACCAGTGGAGCAGCGACGTGGCGCCCACCAGCACGTGTCGCACCAGTGTGGGCGTGGCTGTCCTGGGCGGATACCTGTACGCAGTGGGGGGGCAGGACGGGGTTTCCTGTCTCAATATAGTAGAAAGGTATTACTCAGAGTTATTGTTTTCCTGTTTCTCTTTATTATTCTTTATTCCCTACGTTTTTCTCTATCTAACTACTCTTTTTCAGCTTTTCTTTGGCTTCTTCTTCTTCCATTCAGCACATGGCATTCTCACACCTTTTTTTAGTTCTGAAAAGCGTTATACAAAAAGCTAACTTGGATTCATTAGGTCTGTGTAAAAAGCTTGGTGGAATAGCATGCCAACACTTCCTGTTTCCAGATACGATCCAAAAGAGAACAAATGGACTCGCGTGGCCTCCATGAGCACCAGACGACTGGGAGTAGCTGTGGCCGTACTGGGAGGATTTCTGTACGCTGTGGGGGGCTCTGATGGAACATCCCCACTAAATACAGGTACTGTAGTCAGCCACAAATGTGTTAGTTACATTTCCTCTGTAACCTGGACTGTTTGAGATTCTTTCTTTGTTATTTGACGCGTTGTTTTCTGTCTCTCTGTCCAGTTGAACGCTACAATCCTCAAGAGAACCGCTGGCACACGGTCTCCCCCATGGGCACCAGGAGGAAGCACCTGGGCTGTGCGGTGTACCAGGACATGATTTACTCTGTGGGAGGGAGGGACGACACCACCGAGCTGAGCAGCGCGGAGCGCTACAACCCCAGGACCAATCAGTGGTCTCCGGTGGTCGCCATGACGTCCAGACGCAGCGGGGTGAGTTTATTTGTCTCCTAAAACAAAAGTACCCTCAATTCAACCTGTTTTATACATTCTTATCCTTAGCGATGTCCTCTATGTGAGATGGATGTAAACTGTGTGTGTTTGTAGGTGGGCTTGGCTGTGGTGAATGGCCAGTTAATGGCCGTAGGAGGCTTTGATGGGACGACGTATCTAAAAACTATAGAAGTCTACGACCCGGACGCCAATACGTGGAGGTAAATATGACTAGAAGAAGATGAGGCTAAACATGGTCTTACATATAAAGCACCTATTTCTTAAGGCTTTATTTATTTTAGGTGTAATCTTGAATCCAAACACTACAGTTTAAATAAAATCTGAATAAAAATGATGGTAATGAATTGATCAGTGATCTTAAAAGATATCCTTATTAGAGATGGAGAGACCCCCAACAGATCATAACTAGAACAAATTGTGCAGGATGAAAGCAGGTTTTTTAACCTTACTATTCTAATTAAATAATCTTCCTACCGTGGAATTCTCCTGAGATTTACTCATTCAAACATCTGCAGGCTTTTCGCTCCTGGCAGCTGGTGGTTTGAGTCTAAACAAACAGCTGTCAGGAGCACATCTGTTTTATGGAGATTTACTGGATCCATAAAATT